AGACCTTGTTAACTCTCCAACTTATGTACTGAGAGTTTCGCTTATGTCTCTCCGGGTACTTCGTACCCCTGTGTGCTCCACACCATGTAACCCCGTTACACATAGTATATCCCATATCCACCTAAGTGAATCCAGGTAAGGGTGGATCCGAGATAAGTCTTGGTGGATCTTGCCTTCCCGTACATCGCTCATACCAGATCCATCGTCATTCCATACGGGGTGCCGCTCGTCATGGCTAATCCACCACAGGCAACTTGCACCCGTGCCAAACAATTGAAAATGTCACTGATTCGGGATAGTGACCCCGCGTCAGGCCCATTCTCTTATTTCTGAGAAAGCACTTCACCACAGTTCGGGCCCTTGAAAGCTCGTGCTTGAGATCAAGCAGGACTCCTCACACGTAAAACGTCACTCTTATGCATGTACACTCACTCCTTCCTCCTAATCCACCCTTCCCCTGTGGATTCGTCTTCTCTTTCTTTCCGAGGTGACCAACTCACATCAGCGATCCTCCTCCTCCTGGCCCACACCCTTCCTGTGGGTCCTTCTTCATCCTCCCATCGACAGGACCAACTCACATCCATGGGCCCCCTCCCTACTCTTCTTCATGAGACTGCATCACGCCGAATCTGTTACGATTCGTACGATCCCTCAAGAAATCATAGAGTAATGCTCCACAGTTCAGATCTGCCTCGTCTACCCAACTGGGTTCGTCATATCCACGCCAATACACCAGAAATTCACGGTAAATACGTCCGTATCTAGTTCGCTTCCCCGACCTCATATCGGTGATCTTCTCGACTTCGAACTCCATCGATCCGCGGATCTTGTTTCATTCAGCAGCGTCTTCGTCGAACCGACTTCCGACGACGCCTCTTCCCCTGGCTCAATCTTCACTTGAGCATCTTCTTGGGACTCACGGTGAAATCCCGAGTCACCAAAAGATCCGGGCACGCGCAACATTGTGGTGTAGCGGGATCAGCAAAATCTGCGAGATTGCCAGATCCAACTTACCAACTGCGCCCAGACACCGACTAACGGAGGGGGTCCCCCGATGATCCGTGTTCTGCTGAACTTTCCTCACCTTGTGTACCCGTCGGTAGGGCGGGATCTTGCTCTCTCGGTAACTTCCGAAGAGTTCAAGTGGTAAAGTTTGAGTGTCTTGGCGAGACGTGGGGATGGGGTGGAGCAGCAGTGGAAAATCTTCACTCTGCGTCCGTGGATTGTTCCGAATCCTAAGCGAATATTCGAGCTTATGGATCCGGGGCCTAGATCGTGGATCTGGCCGTAGGGTTGCCTTGCGGGTGTGTTCCCTTGCCTTTGTAGTTCCTTTGCGTCGTACTTGCCGCCTCCTGTGACGGGATCTTGAGAGTTGAGAGCCTCTAGGGTGTAACCGACCAAGTAGTAAATTCGGTTAACCTGTCGGATCTGCACAAGTAAAGGAAAAGCTCACTAGGTTGTAGGATCTGGCCAATGTATTATCCAGTTATCACTACTAACACTAGATTCGCAATTCCCAACCTTCTCCTAGCTCGTACGGCCAATGTAGTTCCGGTTCTTGAGGGCAGGAAGGCACTTGCGTGTTACTGTGCAAAGTGAGGTCTGTATTGATATTTAAGCCTATACCTGCCTGGATTTCTGCCTTCTATGTCTTTAATCTGCTAAATCCCTTACCAGGCTCGGCTGCATGTCCCTTCTTCCCTTGACCCATCATCCCAGCTGTGTTATCTTCAGATCCACCGGATCTATGACGTAATCCTCATGGTCACCCTATTATGGGTACACTCATCCGGATCCAGGTCGCTTGGATCCACCTCACTGTAAGTGTACACTCGTCGTGGATCTGAGCTCTCCGATCATCCAACATCATCTCGCAACCGTCTGTGATCTCCATTGTCCCACGAAAGCTCGAGATCCACTGCATCCATCATCCCTATACCCTGGATCCAGGTCCCTCAAGGCGAAATCCTCCCTCCATGGATCCGAACTCGGAAGTATGGGATCCGGGGTACCTCGCGGTGGATCTTGACTCCTCGTTAGCCGTGGCTACTAGATCCACCTTCGGATGACACCTACCACCATTCCTTCATAGGATCCACACTCGATCCACTGGTACAGAGTGTATCCCATATCCACCTAAGTGAATCCAGGTAAGGGTGGATCCGAGATAAGTCTTGGTGGATCTTGTCTTCCCGTACATCGCTCATACCAGATCCATCGTCATTCCATACGGGGTGCCGCTCGTCATGGCTAATCCACCACAGGCAACTTGCATCCGTGCCACCAACCCAAATCCTCTCTAATCACTTGAAATTGTCACTGATTCGGGATAGTGACCCCGCGTCAGGCCCATTCTCTTATTTCTGCGAAAGCACTTCACCACATGGGTCTTCAGAGCATCTCCTTCTCTTCCAGAGGCAACTTTCGCTTCGAGGAGCTCAATTAGAGACGTCTCACCCAGGTGGATTTGATGGATGTCTTCCGGTTCGCGAGGGAGATGGTCAAGCAAATATTCGCTTGGAGTAGATTGCATTATTGTGGCCACGGCAACTGTGTGAATAGGGCAAGATGCAAAGTTTGCACGGTCGTGAAAAAGTGAAGCACCTTGACAGCTAGCAGACTTCATTCGCTTAAAATTGATGTAGATACATCCTCCTGCCAAATAAAATAAAAATAGCAAAAATCAATGGTAAAAACAAATTATGAGGTAGCACCTACCAGGGTAAACTGCTATCTGACTTTTGAGTAAAGACATCGTATCTGAAGACCGGCCCAGGAGATACCAAAGTAAATTCATAAGTGCAGCGTCCTTGTAGTCGTCATCATGGGTAGCCTCACTCAGTATTGCAGTGGTCAAAAGACATAGGTCTTTCTTGGTGCACGGGGGCGCTTGGGGGGTAAATTCAGTACTCCTCTTCGAGCAGTACTTGTCCAGTACAGAAGCTATTTTCTGCAATCGACGACCTGCCACAGCCCCAACAGCTGGATAAAGCTCTATAAGATGGTTTTTTACGTTCCCAAAGTAGCTGGCCACGGAGTTTTTAGACAACAACGACCCCTTCGAGCTTTCTTTAAAAGCAAGAAAGACGCCAAACTTGTCCAACACAAGGTAGAGTACTTCTCCTGCAGAATCGTCACCAATCAGCTTGTACATAGTCTCCATGGTCATGTTCTCAGACGCCGCAAAGCGTTCAAACGCATTCAGCGCCGTCAAGCGGGCTCGCTGGGAGTTTCCAGGAATCAGAGCCTTCGTCGACATCGACGGGGTTTAAGTGGTTCACAGTGACTCCTCTGAGGACCCTGACATATATGATAATTGTCCGAGTATTTACGATATTTTAATGATATTCATTTGATTTGAAGTTACTATAAAATATTAAATATTCACAATATATTCGGACACAATATGTCCGTATTGTCCGAGTTTGAAACATTGATTTTTTATGGATTTGATTGGGTACAATCAAATTTTATTCATATCCCATTGGCTGACTACTAATACAATGTTTAAATGTCATAAAGCTGATGTCCGAATAGACACGATATTCTTCCCCACGCCGTCCGAGTAGAACGCACAATATTGCTGATCAATGATAAAATGGGTACCTTTTCCAACACGCAAATAGAACCATCGGCTCCCTCCAAGATTCTATCGTCTTGTGTGCTCTATTGGGTGGGATCTGCCGCACCTTCGCGCACAGACGCAGCTCAAAGCTCACGGTGAGACTGACCGGTGCTGCTGCCGTCGCTGACAAGCATCTCAACTTAAAGCATCGTGCGTTGCGGCAAGTTGTACAACACGCTCTTTCTCTGCTTGTGACTTCCAGGAGATTTGACAACCAGACGGAGCTGGTTTTATTCATTCGCGCTGGTGGTTCCCCATCCATTTGCTCTCATCCTCAGCGCGAGTATTTTGGACGGCGACGCGCAGAGCTGAATGGCAAATTTGGCTTCTGCGAGCGTCCCCGCTCCCCCGCCAGCGAGTCGGACCCATCTTTCCATCCAAAGGGTGTCGACAGCACTGGACAGTAGCGACGAGGCGCGCACCGACACGTCCACGTCGCCTTCCATGAACCCAGCGCGCTCACCCGGCACCGACGCTAAAGGCCGCGGCAAATGCACTGCAACAGCCACCCCAGCACCAGCAAGAACCCCCGCAGCTTCTTCTTCTAGTGGCAGACGTAGGAAGGCGGACACAGCGGTTCTAGGTGAGGACAAGCCAGTCCCTAAGCAACGCAAGTACGAGCGCAAGACCAAGCGCTTCATCTGGCCTGACGATCTCCATCGACTCTTTGTGGCTGCAATCTTCGACGGTGTGTCAATAATGCGAAGAATGCTATAGAGTTCGACACTAACAGGGGATGTCCATTTCAATATTACAGTTGGTCTCAAGAACGCATCCCCGAAGGCTCTGCTGGCTGTACGTTTGAGCTTCTTTCTTCTTGAGTGCAAGGGGGGGGATACAAGCTCACTAACTTTTGGTGCAATGATACAGCTCATGGAAGCCGCAGGACCGAACTCCGGCCTCACGACGGAGCATCTCAAGTCTCATCTGCAAAAGTATCGCCTCAACTACGAGCGCTCTAGGATGGAGTTTCTCGAGTATTACGACCGCAGCGCCAAGCGCAACCTCAAGCGTCGCCGCCGTCAGGCTCAACATCGAGCGAGTGGAACTGGGAGTGAGGCCAATACTATGTTTGTGTTCCCCATCAGCAACTCCAAGCGCCGAAAGAGTCGTGGAAGCGACAGTGACAGCGATGACAGCGACTCGGACACTGGCGATAGCAATACCAATGACAGCAGGATGGAGGTGGATACTAAAGGCCGGACAACTCCTCAGGGACGACACGAATCCCCCGCAGTCGCAGCTAACTCTCACGCGCGTAGTTTGAATTACTCTCAGCTCATGCAGAGTGCACAGCAACCGCCAATCCTTGACGGAAACAGCCATACTCGTCAGCATCCTCCGAGCACGAATGAGCGCATGATGCCCGTCATTCCAACGACAGTATCCACGGGAATGATCCCGATAGCACCTCAGCACTTGCCTCCAGCGTATGCAGCTCATCTCCAACGGAAACAAGTTTCCGACCACGGCCGTGAATTGGCTGCAGCTGCCGCCGCTGTGGCTGCATACCGTTACCCATTAGGACAACTACCTGTGGCTTCGGGAGTTGCTGTGATACCAGAGCTTACTGATCCGCAGTGGAGCATTTTGAACTCTCTGATGTCTCCTCAGCTGGCTGGTATGACTGGACCTGTAGGCGAAGGCGGACTTCTTTCACACGCAGGAGGTACAAGTGAGGCGATGGCTCGTGGCGGTAGTGGCGCGGATGGATTCATGCTCCAAGAGGAACCAAGTGATCTACAGATGCAGATGCACTTAGCCATGCAAGCTCAGATGAACCTTCATCGCCAGATGCTCACGCGCAAAGTGGAAGTGGCTCAACATCTCGCTCGCCACAGCAGTATGGGGAGTGTTGATACCAATGCTGTTCCGGGCAACAGAAACAGGGGATTTAACGAGCCGTGGTGCAGTCCGCAGCACCTTCAACAGTATCAGCATTCGAAACAGGAACACCCGCAGCAACAGCATTATCAGCAACAGATAAATCCTCAGTCTCGGCCGGTTATGTCTGCTTCAGCCTCAGCGAGCCCGGCACCAGTGCTTATAGAAGCAATCGCCCCAGGAACCAGCGAGGCGATAGTGGTCTCGACCTCTGAAGTAGTTGACAGTGGTGGACACATAGCTGCGGACAGCGCAACTGGAGCGACGACGGAGACGAAGACTGACGACGACGGAATGGATCTGTATCGCTGGGATCGCATTGATCTCAATGTGGAACTGGACGACGACGATCTCTTCGGCTTCCTCAAGTCGTAAGGAGCGTTGGAATTCTTCCTAACTTTTGGGCTGGACGTAGGTAGTAGTAATAGTGAATGCACATGTGGTTCTGTAACAATGGATAGGGTGTTGGTTGTCATATGCGCTTTTGAAGCGTTTTCCTCACTTAAGAGGGGGGGGGTGTTGAAGAGAGACGTGGGTCTGGAAGCTTCATGAGGTTGTGCATCGAGTGGGGTATACCGTATATACCGTATACAAACAAGGAAGCATAGGAGCATGCTGAGGACGCACTGACCACGAAACAATATGAGTTCTGCGAGCAACAGTCATTGTCAATGACTCATTGAGTAACGGGATACCGTAACTGAAATAAAGAAGTTGGTCTCCTCTATTATCTGCGTGGTGCTACAGCCATTTTATCTGCTGTTGGTCTGGCACCCTTCGATGGTGCCAGCCATTCCCTTGCCGTTAGAGAGGCACGTTGTCGCTGAGATCCCCAGTCCATAATATTACCTGTTTCCACTCTTTCTCTCTTTGTTTATATGAGCAGCTCTACAGGTCGTCCGTCATGGACTCCGCAGCATTCGTGAGTGCCTCGGCGGGCGGCTTCTCGTCATCCAGCAGTCCTCGAATAAAGAGAACATTGTTACAGCGCACGAGTGTCTCTCCCAGGTTGCCCGTGAGCTCTCCGTTGATATATTCCTCCGTGTTGGCCAGCTGCAAATTCATGTATGAGTCCACTGACAGCAGTACGCCCTTGTATTCCATCCCCCACTTGAGTCGAGCAACGACAGGCTTGCCCGTGAGGTTTGTCAGGAATGGCTTCGGGTTGAGGATCAGACCGGACTGTTTGGCAATACCCGAAACGTCAACACAGGGTTAGTGCAACATGTTCTACAAGATGATCGCCTCTAGTGAGGTCGAATCGGGCTCCATTCGCACCATTTTGCTCGGCGATGTCGTTTACTCTGATCGGATCCTTCAGCCAGTAAAAAACACGTATGAATTAAAACCAATCATTCGCTGCTGAGCAGATATTTAACCAATTAGCTTAGCAATAAACATGGCTACCGCTGTGCGTCAAGAGTGATAACCTTGCGCTCGATGCGTGTGAGGAAGTTGCCGAGCGCCTCTGAGCCACGTACAAAGATATTGAGCACGGGAACACCGGGAACTACATACTTCTCGTGTGTCAGTAGCTGCTGCAACGTGCAGAAGGGCGCCACTTCGATCCAGTACTGCGTCTTGGCCTCGTGCTTCTCTTCGAGTCGAATGCGACTGACCTCCTCGTCATCCTCCTCCTTCTCACCGCTGAGACCCACATGCCATTCCTTAGATGACGAGTACGGCACCACCATGTCTGCCGCCGCATAAACCACAAGTTTGGATGCCACGAACTCGTTGTTGGTGTCCCAATCGGCATACGGGCCATCCTCTGGGAACATATTGGCCAGGTGCTCAATTACCGTGTCCTGCTCACCGAAGAACTGCACAAAGTCCGATGTGCCGTGCTGGTCGTACAGGAAGAGCACAGGCCAGTACATGTTGCCACTCTGAGGGTCCAAGTCAGCCTTGCCTTCGTACTGGCGCACACGCTCGTCGTCCACCATAGCGCGACCCACACGGACTCCGCGAGAAGCGCAAAGTTTCCGGTACTTGTCCGTGGCGGCACGGCGTTTCATGCGTTCCCTCTCTCGCTTCAACTTCTCAACACGCAGCTCCTCCACAAGTCTGCGCCCTTCAACTTGAAGCTTCAGCAGCAAGTTATTCTTCGGGTCGCGCTTGAGGCCCTCCTCACAGTAACGCAAGGTGTCCACAGGCTTGCGCAGCATCCTAGAAGCCTTGGCACCGCGGTAGTAGGCCTTGACATTGCTGGGGTCGCGATTGATGGCCTTAGCGGCATCAGAGCGGCAGCTGGCGTAGTTTTTGAGCTCTAGTTGCACAGCCGCGCGGTTGCACAGGATCTGAGACGTGAGTTCCTTCATGTCGTAGGAAAGATCGCGCTCCTCATCGGGTAGCGCCAACGCCTTGTAGGCGTAGGCTAATGCGTCATTATAGTACTTCATAGCATTCTTAAAGTAGCCTCGATGAGCTTTCTTGGCGTCCGAGAACATGTCGTTGCCCTGGTTCTTCCAGTGGAGAGCCAAGCTCTCGGCCGTCTCGCCGTCCTCAATCAGAGCCTGGATGGCTTCCACCATCTCGTCGCCCTCCACCACGTGGTCCTCAAACAGCGTCATGTCTGGCAAAGCATCCATGTACGCCTGGCGCTCTGCCGGGTCCCACAACTTGCTCTCGTCGATCTCGAGGTCCACGCCCATATTTTCCATAGTTGCCCACGCCAATTATTGCACTCCGAGAACCTAAGTATTGAAAATTGATTGGCAACGTCGGCACCAGCTGGAACCAAATCTCGTTTAAGTGCGAATTTGCGCAGTGGACGTCAGTCTCAAATGGTGGACGCAGCGCTGGAGGATGCAGAAGCGGAGACGCAGTTGCCACTGACGGAGGACAAGGTGCCGGTGTGCTGTGACTGCGGCAAGGGCGACGTTAAGTACCGCTGCCCCCGTTGCGAGCGCATTACGTGCTCGCTGCAGTGCTGCGTGGCACACAAAAAGCAGGTGCGATGGTCTGGCGCTGCTACCAGTAATACTTTCATCGTGCTAACATTGTAACATTGCTGCGGCTGCCTTTGCACTGATGGTAGTTTGAGTGCAGCGGTAAACGTGACCGAACCAAGTACGTGGAGTTAAAAAAGTTCACGGACGCAGATCTGTCCAGCGGTAAGTGGCGACCCACTCGGTTACTGTTGATAGATTGTACTGACTTAGTTTGTGTATGTGCTTGCCGAATCTTCATTTGCAACAGATTTTTTCTTCTTGGAGGAGGTATACCGCTCTACTAATAGCGCAGCTCGGTCTCGGAACCAGTTGAATGTCAACGCGCGGCGCTATACGAGCAACAAGAAAAGAAAAGTGGCAACTGATGCTGGCAGTTCATCAGCTCCGATCAATCCTGACATTCCGGTGGACTGGTTAGCACGTTTCCCGATCGCCGTGCAGCTGTTTGCAGAGCACTCGGCTAAGCGAGGCGTGACATTAACGCTGCTCGCTCCCGGCATGAGCAAGCGTGCACGTAACTCATCTTATATGGATACGAAGAAGAACACAATGTACTGGCGTGTAGAGTGGACGTTTCCCAGCGCTGAAGTCCCAGTGAGTCATTTCGAGGAGCGAGCGAATGAAAAGGAGACCTTGTTCACGCTACTCGGCAAGTGTCTAACTCCCACCGAGGTAAGGCAATTACCGGAGCGCAAAATGATGCTACAAAGACGAGATTTTAACATTGAATTTTGTTGTAGGAAAACGTCGCTTTTCGCGGAAAGCTCAACAAATATGCCGTACCCGACTGGGAGAAGCACATGGTGCTCCTATTGCGAAAAGAGTTCACTCCAGCATCGCAGCCGCAGTACTACCGGCTGGACGGTAGTCAGAGTCTTGCAAGTAATTTGAAACGTAAGGCCATCGTGGAGTTTCCTGTGATCATTGTTGCACTGGCAGCTGACGCCGATCGATATCCCGTGGCACACGAAGTGATCGAGATGATGTTATCATCGGGGATGGATGCTATGGAGCAGGAGACTTCTACTGAAGAGCCTGAAGCGATGGAATTAGAGGAGGAGGGACCAAGCGACGCGACCTCGTCAAAGCTGCTTAGTGGCGAAGGCTCAAACACTACAGACAAACTCTTCTCCATTTCGGAAGAGGGAAATGAAGACGTCATGGCTCCTGCACAGGCGGAAAGTGTGCTGATCGAGGAGATCCAAGTCGCCGCTCACTAGAGATGACGCTACACCAAAATCCAATAAAAACTGCATGATAGGCCTCTAAGCTTGGCAATTCCGATTTTTCACGACTTTTCAATAGGCCGTTGAGCAGACACTTTAACGGACTTCAAGACTTGGACGAAGCTGGTGGAAGCATGGCAACTTCATGGTTCGTGGACCCGGACCTCAAGCCAACGACCTTCACAGCGTCTTACGTGTGCAACAACCTGTCCAAGCTTGGCGAGATGATGGTTCATCGGGTGCCTATCTAAATGATCCAAAGTGGTCAAGATCCTAACAGTTCTTGGATTTGTAGGTTTATGCGAGCGTAGACGACGTGGTGTACGTGGACACGACGCACACGCCATACAGGACCCACAAGCTGCCGTGTGCAGAGAAATCTGCGGTGCACCAAGTGCGCTTCTGTACGCTAAAAGACTTGGCTGTGATCGTCGTCGCCTCAGACAACGGAATTCAGGTATCGAACTCGTAATGAAGAGCACAGTTACGGAAGCCGAACGATTTTTCGTCTACTGTGTCTAAACAGATCTACGACTCTACGGGCGAGATAAGTCTTTCGGAGATTGCACTGAAGGATATCGTGGGTGGTGACGTTGGAGGTAACTACAATTTGACCCACACAAGCTGCTGCTGCGTCCAGAGATCTCACTAAAATGGACTGAAGCAGGGGATTATCTCTATTGCCAGGGCATTTGCTCCATCCCCATGAAGGAGCCACGTCTCGTCGTGGGTAAGCGGAGTCGAATTACTATTTATAAGAAAGTTCGAGTACATACAGCTGATCGACCACTCTCACGCATTTTTACAGGCACCTCGCTTGGGAAGCTGCTTGTAATCGGGAAAGAAGAAGAGGCCAAGTCTGGGGAAGGATCTAGCTTCGAGGTGAGTGAGACGCTTACCGAGCACGACGAGGCTATTTGCTGCGTGGAAAGTTCCCTCGACGGTACACTGCTTGCCAGCAGCGACATGAGTGGAGCTATCTTGCTTCGTAACCCTAAAGACGGCTTTGAAGTCACCCATCGGATCGTGAGCACCGCTTACCCTGCGACTTCCATGACCTTCATGGCAGAAAACTGGCTGGTGGCTGGATACCTGACAGGGTGTCTGCGGCTGTATAACCCTCAAGGTTTTGCCTTGCACGCCGAAGTGGCTGCTCATACACGAGCAATTACAGCGTTGGATGCACACAACGAGTTTGCGGTGTCCGTGAGCGAGGATACGTTTATGAATGTCTGGGAGATTTCATCAAGCAAGCCGGGAGCAACACCACGCGTAAAGCTTGTGAGCTCCCAACCAGTCCCCAATGATCTCCTAACGGGTGTGGCTTTCGTGTCGACAAACAGCCTCTTGACTGCTGCATACGACAGCGCGCACCTCAAGTTTTGGAGCTTAGAATAAGCAGCAGACCTTGAACAGAAGGGGCAAGTTGAGGTTTAAATCTCCTCTACAATATATCGAAATTAAGGTAGTACTGCAGCGTTTGATCTTAATCGTAAAAGGCGTCATCGTACTCGATGTGGTCCTCCATCTTCTTGGCAGCTTCGTTCAAGGATGTCCACGGCAGATCCTGTGCCTTCGTCAGTGTTATAGTAAGCGTATCCTTATTCGCCTTCCACGTCGCATCTCTGATCTCCTGGAACAAGGACGAGATCTTCAGGCTTTTAGCCAGGTCGCCGTCAGTCGCTTTTAGCAGATCCATCGACAGCGATGTGTTGGTCCATTTCTTATGTTAACCAGGTACACAATTAAGTAAGTTAGTACCGATACGTGCTGCCGTACAACATGTAACGAACGAGTCCAGCCTCACCAAAACCAGTTGATCTTCCTTCATGTCCTTGACGACGTTGTCCGCTAAGTAAATGCTGCAAGAACAAGGAAAACACAACGCCGCTTAGAGTTCGATTTCCTCACATGAGCTCGTCATTTTAGCTCCACCCACCTGACAGTCTTCTTGTGGTCGCTCCAGCCGTAGGACGACACCATGGTCTTCAGCCCGCTGCCATCATTGCCCTCACCGTGCTGATACGTGTAGTAGTAGCTGTGTTCTCCTTGCTTAATCTTGGTCTCATCCGGAGCATAATTCAACTCATCCACTTCTTCTTCGCCCTCAACGTCGTCTCGCTCACTATCACCTTCTCCTTCTACCGCGTCAGTCTTCTTGAGCGTCGCGTTGAGTCGTGCGGCACACCGCCAAAGCATCACCGTCAAAACGACCACCGCAATACTGACCCCTACCTGCTCCAAAAAGGCCTTGTTCATGTGGATATTCCCCCATGGCGTCACCAGCTTCATGTAGCTCGCCCCAGCGCTGGGCATGTACAGGTAGGGCACGAAGAATCCCTCGCCCATTGCGATCTGACGTGGCGACCATCGAAACGTCTGACCATTGGTCAAAATATTATCCCGTCAAATACGCTCGCAGGTACCTTTAAAACGTATTTTCCTTATTACAGTACATTGTAGCAAATTTCTAAGGTTTTACAGTAGGTCTCTCTGACCAGACAAAATATCGCTGCAGGAGTTCGAAGCTGTTACTACACGTCGTCGCCATGAAGCCGTTGTTCGGAAAGATTGTGTCCAACAAGATGCAGAAGTCGGTGCTGGTGGAGGTGGCCCGCATCGTGAAGGACCCCAAGTATGGAAAATACTACAAGAAGACCAAGAAGTTCATGGCCCACGACGAAGAGAACGCCTGCAACATCGGCGACTTTGTGCGTCTGTCGGGCACTCGCCCGCTGTCCAAGCGTAAGCGCTGGAATGTCGAGGAGATCACGCGCAAGGCCGAGGTGTAAGGAGGTTATCAGTTGACATGCTGTGTTGGCTAAAGAAATTTGTAGTCTGGCAGCATTGGCTGGATGGCGAGAGGCTCTGAAGGCGTGCTTAGCTGAGCTGGAAACACTGAGGAAAGTAATTTAGAGTTGGTTTTCCTGTCTGATGTTTGGAATCCGTTCTGTCATTTATACTGCAGAAAACGAATGCCAACGGGTGCACTTATCTAGTCCATTTTTGGTTAATCAATGAGTGCCGTAGCAGTGCTTTTACAGCTCTTCATACTGGGTGGCCTTCAAGCGCAGACTATAGTTCGTCGTCATCCGAGTCGGACATGTCTGCAAGTGGATCAAGTACCGGGAAATCGCCCACTGCAACGTTATAGGGGCGAACGAAGCCGCCATATTTCTGCTCGCACTTGAAGTAGATTTCGCCCTTGACAGAGCCATCACCTTTGCCCACAGGCTCGTCGAAATGCACTCCAACCCAGTAGCCCGGGGCGATCTCCGAGATCTCTCCCAGGTAGTGCACCTGTCCACGTCGACCACCAGGCTGCACTTCGCATCGGTCGCCTACCTTCATGTTTGCGATAGTATCCGGTCCTGGAAGCGTAGCAGGATCCACCGCCGGTTTAGTGACGTTCATCATGACCTTGGGTTTCCAATTTGGGTCCTTGGCTAGCTGCTCCTTCTTATACGCACGTACAGTCTTCTCCCCTGTTCCAGCAACAGAGCACTTTTAATCAGAATCATCTACCAGTCATGCCAAGCCATTGTCGGCTCTCGCTTACGTTTGTTGTAGTCCTCCTCGGAGATCTCGTACTTCTTAACGAGCGATACGTCCTCTAGACCTCCGCCTTTTGAAAGTGAAAATGGATCCTTGTCCACGACGTGCAACCGCATGCCGTTCTCCAAACTGTAGAAACCAAGCATCCTCGCGTCATCATCTAAGCGAGCGTATACCGAGCCGTCGCTGCGCATGACCAGTAGCTCCATAGCGTCCGGCTTCGTGCCTGTGTGTTGGTACAACTTGTGCCGAAGCTCGCCGATGGTGCCATGCAGGTCCACGCGAATATCAACCATCTGCAGCTTGAGGTTGTTATGCGTAATGAGCAGACACACGACACCTTCGGGCATATTTTCGTACTGATGGTCATCCATTGCCGTCACGTAGGATCGCAATGCTCGCATATCCTGCGCCATGGGTGTCCCGTCGCCTCTCTCTCTCACTCTCACTCGAGTGTCTGCTAACAAACGGCATTAATTTGGTTCAGTTGGACCCAAATATCAAAGAGCCCAAAAAATTTGTACCCAAGAGTAGAACCATGCGATCACCCAGATTGGCTTTCAGTGAGCGACGATGGAGTTGGCGACGATCACAGCGCTGAAGGTGTACGACGTGCTGCTGATTGGCATCGTCATGTTCGCCATGGATCTGGCTATGAAGTTCTGGAGCGGACGCGGCGCGCAGCTGTCACCGGCCGAGCAGAAGCTGCTGGGTGAGTACAATGCGCAGGTGCGACTTGTGAACCGCCTCAACTCGGTCGAGACGTTCGTGGAACAAGCCAAGGCCACGCGAAAGATGAACGCGCTTAAAAAGGAGTTGCAGGGGCTTGCAGGTGGGTGGAAAAGATTGTTATTAAGCATTTGATAAATTATCCGAATTATCTAATATGCATTGTGCGTATCGTTGTGTCACTTGGGCAGTGGAGCGCCTTGCCGCAAGCGCACCGTCAGAGGTCCAGAGGCAGTTCGACCGAGTTAGAACGGTGCGTCTGCAGTACTGAAACAAATGTGTAGTCATACGTTGAAAGCTCATTGATACCGGTATGTCGGCTTTGTTGTGCTGTGAATTGCTGTTACGTCAGCCGGCTCTCATGGGACTGTTGATGCTCTACTACTGGAAGGAGCCTCTCGTGGTGCTACCGCAAGGCTTCATGCTGCCGGTGGAGCGACTCATGTCGTTCCCAGGCTTCCCGCTCGGTGCGATATCCGCAATGGGCTGGGCCGGAATCTGCCGTCGTGTGAGCGCCAAAATCCTGAGCTAGATATGCCTAATCCGGAACACCTACATTGACCTATCCATCTGCAACACAAGACTTAGCACCATAGACAGCCGACAATAGCTAGCACATTAAGTCCATGGTAACCTGTTCCTACCAATTACTGTAAACGGACCCCCAGCGGTCATTTTGCCTGACGTAGACAGAAGACCCATTGTGTTGTGTGCGAATGGTGACACATGCATGGCTGTCATGCGTTCGATTAAACTGAAGTTACTACCCGACCCGAGGTAGGTCACGTGACAGTTTCCCGTAAACGACGCCTAGTAGTCCTCGTCTCCGCCGAACATGTCCATGCCGCCGCCCATGTCGACCTCTTCCTCCTCCTCCACGGCCTTCGCCTCCTCCTTGGCCGGAGCAGCACCACCAGCAGCAGCGCCAGCGGCAGGGGCAGCGCCCACCGACACGGTGGCAAGCTTGGCCTTGCCAGCCTCGATCACCTCCTCGATGTTCTTGCCCTCAAGCTCCTTCACGAGCTTCTCGGCCTGCTCCTGGTCGAACTCGCCGCCGAAAGCCTTCACGACCTTCTCAAGGTCAGCCACGGCGGGGGTGGCATTTCCGCCGAGCACACACAACAGCAAAGCAGCAACGTGACGCATCTAGAACAGAAGCAACAGAGACAAACAGGTTGTTAAGCTTTATGCTGGACTGAAAGGTGTCGCTATTGCTTTTGCTCTAGCGCCGTTGAATTCGAACGCATAACTATTGACGCACCTTGTTTAAGGTGAAAAGAGGTTCTGCCCGACGACGGCTCCTGTTACTATGCTTTGCGTCGTAGCCGAGACTTGTGCTTGGAAGGCCAGCGATAACCAATCACTCCCCAAACCTTACAAAAGCCAAGTTATTTGTCCCCTGCCAATCATAGCGCATATCCTCTATGTTTAAATATCATATTTGAAAGGGTATCACACGTTGTAGGAACTTCAGGTGCGGAACCTGTTTGCTACGACGTGGTTGTCGGGGCTGCTGGGGCTACCACCGCCCCAGACATCATCTTTTTCGGCTTCAGTGGACTACTTAAATCAAAGTTCTCGAAGATTCCTTCGCTCACGTTGACGCGCGCGCTGAGTATCATGTCTGGCTGCATTGCTGCCGCTGCAATTTCAGTTGAGTTGGGGCTCGAACGCTCGGAGCGGCTGATGTCGCTACATTTACTCAGCTCGAGAGCTGCTGCCGCCGCTGCGCGATCGAGTGAAGTCTGTGAGGTTATTGACGACAGCGCTGACAAATTCGCGGGCATGATTGAAGCTGGAGGGGAACCTCTTCTTGTCCGCGTTCCAACTCCCTTCGCCCCCGGGTCGTTAACGTCGCCGTGTTGCACGTGACTGCGCTTTCCGTTCCATGTCTTCTTACGTCGAAGGCAATTGCATTTTAACATGCGGGTACACAAACCATCGGAGCCATTTTCTAAGATGAAGTCGTACGTACCCATTCCAATGCACAACAGATACGTGTGGAAACCAGCGAGAAGAAGAAACGAACTCGTCAGCGACATACAAGCTGCGTTATGAATCCAAATCAGCGTAATCAATGCTTTGTCCCAGCCTTCAGCAGCGTTGGTCTTCACTTCCGACTGCCATAACGTGCACATGAGAATACCTATGACGGTCTGCAGCAAAGTCTGGCATGTTGCTGAAACCACAAGACAGTAAAATGACTCGTAGTTACTTTCAGCAATGCAGGTATTCAACCACGTGCAATGATGATCGAGTCCAGGGCTGTTCTTGAAGCACAATCCACAATACCGTGACTCCTTTGGAGGAACTTGCAGGATGGAGGGAAAAAAGCTTGAAGGTTTCTGCATTGCACCGTTGGTAGTTCACGAACCACGTCCACAACCAGAATGGAATGGGTAGAACAAACACTCACAGGCTTCGATGGGTCCCGCAACTCGCAAATGCCCCACGATGTTATGACGAAGATGACCAAAACAACATTTGGGACGAGAATTGCAAGGCACTACAGACGACAGATAAAAGTTAGACGGTGTGCAATTAATGATACTCAGCCTAGGCACACCTTGTCCCAGCGAAGGAGTGTAGACACGAAGGTAATGAAGCTCTGCACAGTCGTAGCGGCAAGGTCACACAATGTGGAACCGACAAATGACGGCAGATTATTAAGCGTACTCCGATCAGGACTAGCTGAATGATCCAGCTTGTCACTTGGTCACTAGAGAAAGGCTTTTCAAATCCCTTGGTACGCATGGTGTTTTGCAAGGGGCTGCGCTCTTTAGCACCACCTCGCAAATGACAAAGGTAAAAAAAAGTAAAGAGGAGACCGAGTCACAGATGAATCTCTCCACGCTGCTCCGAAATCTCCAACCACACCAGCACTCTCGGCTATTTCTGGTCCACCACCTGTAAGTTACTAGCAACAAATACAACTCCAATCTGGACTCCACCATCCTATAAATACTCAAACTAATGTCTATTGTGCGGCAACAAATACATGTAGTCAACTCGGTAGCTAAATTGAAGTCCGGACAAGCTCCTTCTCTGCCTGCGTTTTTCCTGCTGCTGCGGCGGCCGTCGACGCCGAGCTGACTTTGGAGATGGCGATGACGCTGGACCAGTTCTCCAGCACACGCAGCGACGCTTCAGATATCCCGACATAAATATGTTAGTTTATCGTTCCACAACTCCCATCCCTTCTGCGCACTCTACGCACTCTCATTCTGCTCATTCATCAGCAAAAGTTTCTCGTTGATATTATCCAAGAAACGCACCAGCTCTGCCGACTTGTCCCTCAGCGCCTCGAGCGCCTCCACTTCCTCGTCCTTGTTGCCTGCCATCGTCTCCGAGCAATGAGGCGTATTTAGTCGGGTGCTTGCATCACGTCACAGAACCAGGCGGAAAGTTATGATTGGTTAACTTAAGCGCAATGACCATCATCCATTGGCCAATATTCGCTCCTATCCTGCCATAGTCAGTTTGCCGACAGTGCTGTATTGCTCCGTAACGGACGTGGTCGCCCCGTGCATGCTCTTGTCGTGCGTGGACACTAAGAAGAAGAAGCGGAAGCTCAGTACTCTGGAGGAAGGAAGCAGTAGTATGTGGTCGGATTCGCGTGGAACTCCCTTGCCCAGCGGTGGCATGTCTGGATCGTCATCACGTTCGCAACCCCCACAGGCCGCAGCGCTAGCAACCATGCGTCGCCACGGACGCACGCTACTGCTTCTCGTCGCACTTGGTGTATTAGCGTACGTATCGCTGTCCAGATCGACGATGAGTGGCAGCACGGCCACTGGCATCAACCACGGCGCCGAACTGCGAACACCTCAGAATTGGGGCAACGATCAACCGATGCTGTTGCCTTCGGTGACAGCTAGGCACAACATTCGACAGCAGCCTACACTGGCACCTCCACCTAAGCCTGACTCCTTCGGTATCGTCATTGTGGCCGATCTGGACAAGAAATCCAAGGACGATAACAGCAAGAAGCCGCAGTTCCTGTCCTACATCATGCACGCCACACTCAAAGTCACGCCAGGCAGCTCCAGTGCTACCCATAAACGCGACGCGTACTCAGTGACCTTTGGAGAAGAAACCAAGTTTTCAACTCACATGAATGAGGCCGGACGCGGCTTCGAACTCAGTGAACTAGCCTGGTTCGACGGCAAGCTACTGGCGTTTGATGACCGTACGGGTATCGTGTTCCGACTCAAGCATTTTGAGGGTATAAGCAGGACCAAACCTCTGCAGGCCATCCCAGAGCACATCATCATGGAGGGAGATGGTTTCAACGGCAAGGGCCAGAAGCACGAGTGGGCTACTGTGAAGGACGGAGAGCTGTATATGGGGAGTGTGGGCAAGGAGTTCACGGACAATGACGGCAATGTCATCGGGGATGGCAATTTGTGGGTCGCTGTGATGAACCGTGCGGGTGAAGTGCGACACGAAGACTGGACAGCGAACTTTGCAGCGGTACGGAAGGCTCTGGGCTGTGAATGGCCAGGCTACGTGGTGCACGAGGCCATCGAGTGGAGTCCTGTGCGTCGTCAGTGGTTTATCCTGCCACGACGTGTCAGTACTGAGCCGTACAATGACATGGAAGACGAGAGACGTGGCTCGAACAAGATTATCATTGCTAGCGAGGATTTTAGTAGCATCCAAGTGCGGGAGGTAGGGAAGGTCACACCGCTACGCGGTTTCTCGTCCTTTAAGTTCGTTCCACGGTCCGACGACTCGGTCATTGTTGCTATCAAGAGTGTGGAGGTGGAGGATGAAGAGAGACAGACGTCGTATATTACAGTGTTCAGCGTGGATGGGAATGTGCTTATGGAAGAGACCGAGATCCCTGGAGCCAAGAAGTACGAGGGCGTTGCATTCGCTCACGACTGGTCCTAGACAAAAGTCGATGGATTCGGTCCCAATTTCTGGGACCTCGGCACATCTTCCTCCACGATAGAACAGCGATTTAGTGCCAAGCTAGCTGTAGATTACAGATCGAGCTTCCCCGAGTAGTGTCTGCTCCGAGCAAAAGTCTTCTGCCATTGAAGTCCCGAGCTTGAGGCTGCTTAACTTCACAGAGCAGACGGGAAGTGGGCCAGTGAAGTGGGCCATACGCGTTCCCACTTGACTTTTAATCATGACGGATCAAGAAATGGAAAGATTGCATTCCTTCTTTTCGCATATTAAAGGTGTCTATTTGTTCTGTGGCCACTCAAAGTGCACTCATGTTCTCGCAAAGCCACGAAATGCCATCGTTTAGTCCTTCACCTGTAGTCGCCACTGTTGGCTGCACCTTGACACGACGATTGAGTTTTTCGCAGTTTTCTTGGAATTCCATCGCTTCAGTTAGCTCTTTAACATCTTTTGCGTGTGGCAGATCCCGTTTGTTTAGGATAACAAGCAGACAGGCATCTTGGAGTTGAGTGTCAACGAGCATGCCGTTAAGTTCTGCCTTCGCAAGCTCTAAGCGCTGATCATCCGCACTATCAAGAACAAAGATGATTCCCTGGTAGTAGAGTTTGGTTTAGCCACCCGACAAGTACCGAAGTCGCCCGCTTGACTCGTTTCACCGTACCTGCGTCCCAGTGAAGTGATGCCTCCAATATGGCCGCAACGTGTCCTGTCCTCCGACATCCTGGCGTTTTGTACGCTAAGTTAGCAGCACAATCAAAAAGTCTTCGATCAAGCGTCGACCCAACTTACCCAAATGTTGAGCTTATAGCCCTCATACTTGATGGTCTCCACGTTGAAGCCTACAGTCGGAATGCTAGCGATAGCCTTCCCTAGACGCAAGTGATACAAGATCGTTGTCTTGCCAGCGCCATCAAGCCCCACAAGAAGCAGTCGACGTTCATTGCGGTTCCAGAAACGCGAGAAGCTTCTTGACAGCGAGGAGCCCATGGCGTGAGCCGCGTAGATGCAGACGTGCTCGACGTAGTGACCAGGACACGCTCTTTCACTCTTCGCAATATTTAGCACGATATTTTTACTTCCCAGCCATGCGTGTCGTCTGTCTGTATTCCACCGTAACGACTCAAACAGTTCGAGTTATTTTCACGAAAACTTTAACTCCTTTGAAGTAGTAAAATTGTGGTATGAGTGTTTTTTTCTTCCTGTTAACCAAAGTGAGTCTCCTCCGTATCCTTCGCTCTTCCCAGCAAGAAAGTCGCGTTTACCAGCTCCAATCTTCCGCACCTGAGAGTCCACCTTGGGACAATCTGTGATACGGTGCCCCAGACCACCACAGAATGCACAGCCCTTCGTTCCTGTGGCATTCGAAAGCGCACTGCCGCTGCGCTCCAGCTCTTCGTAAGGATCTTCCAAAGCCTTGAGAACTGGCGGCACTGTCTGTTTGGCTTCGACGAGCAAATGCTTTAGGTCCAGCAATGCACTCTCAGGAACGCTCTTGTTGATGAACGTGGTAGCAACTCCAGTTTTGCCACAGCGACCTGTACGACCAATGCGATGCACGTAATTCTCGATCTCTGCAGGCATGTCGAAGTTGATAACATGCTTAATATCTGGGAAGTCGAGACCTTTTGCAGCCACATCCGTTGCCACTAGCACGTCTTTTTGTCCACTTTTGAACAGATCAATGGCCTCATTACGCTCCTCCTGATCTTTCCCACCATGGATTGAAGCCGCCTCAACACCTTTCAGAATCAGATACTCGTAAATATCATCAACGTCCCCCTTACGCTCACAGAAAATGACAACAGGCGGACTTGTCTTCTGTAAACACTCTAGCAGATAAACAATCTTGGCGTCCTGCTTGACATATTCAACTTCCTGGATCACATCCAGGTTGGCAGCACCAGCACGACCAACGTTCACTAGAACAGGCTTCACTAGCACGTCCTTGGCGAAATCCTGGAACTTCTGAGGCATCGTCGCTGAGAACAACAGCGTTTGTCTCTGACTTGTGAAGTGGTTAAAAGTCGCAGCAACTTCCTCATCGAATCCCAAGTCCAGCATGCGATCCCCCTCGTCCAGGCAAATATATTTGCACAGTCGCAGATTCATCTCCCGTAGCTTCAGGAAATGATTCAGTCGACCAGGAGTAGCCACCACAATATGGACACCACGACTGGCGATCAAGTCTGACTGCTGGCGTTTGTCTTCTCCACCGATACAGAGAAGACCACGGAGCTCTGGGTACCCCGCCTTGAACAGGTGCGACGTAAAGTGCGTTACTACGTCGAAAGTCTGTCGCATGAGCTCGCGTGAGGGCCCCACAATGAGCCCAAAAGGTCCTTCGTGGCCAATAATCGGCATCTTTTTCTCCTCCTCAAGCGCCAACATGACGAGCGGCAAAGTAAATGTCACTGTCTTACCCGAACCTGTGAATGCGATGCCGATCATGTCTCGCCCTGCTAGAATACACGGGATCGCCTGCACTTGAATAGGCGTGGGTCGCAGGATGTTCTTTGCCTTTAGAGCGTCTAGAATGGCTGGCGGGAAGCGCATGTACTCGAAAGACTTGATGGGCGGCGGCACGTCTTCTCCTTCTACTAGGATGTGCCACTTTTTGCGGACTGCGTCACATTCTTCCTGGGTCATGTCTGCGATGCTACGCGGGGGTCTCCACGTGGTTTTCATTGATTCTTTGTAGTGGATTCCCTCGGCACGCTCATGAGCCGAGACCAGCGCCACCTTCTGCACGTAGCTGGCCTCTTTGAGCATGTTAACTTCCTGGGCGTCCTGTTGAGCCTTCTGCTGGTTCACACCCTGCTCCTCCATCTTCTTGCGCATCTCGTAGGCCTGGTCCAGGAGACTCACCGTTGATCGTTCTTGCGGAGGCGAAGGCTCACCCAGTTCAGCAGACGACGGCGACGCATCGGGGTTTGGGTCGTTGGTCTTCTGTCGCTTGCGCTTCTGTTCGTCCTCATCGCTCCCGCCGTCATCGTCGCTGTGCTCGTGTTGGATGCGCTCCTGCAGCGCCTTGCGTCTATGCTGCAGACGCTCCTGTTCACGTTGGCGTCGCACCTTCAAAGGCACGTACAGCGGCTCATCAGACTCCTGTTGCCACTTCATCGTCTTTGAATGGTAAAATACATACGTTTCTTGCAAAAAAACATATATTTTACCGTTAAAACTCAATTGAGTTGAGAAAACGTAAGATGCAATCGCCGACGTTATGGGGGAGACTTTTGATTGGATGAAAACAGTTATTTTAACGCTGAGTCGTGCACTAGAAAGTTTACTCTTCATCACGCACTGACGAGTTCCCTGTAGCACAGGTACTATTGCTGTGGCGCGTGCGCCGCTTCCGGCGCCTAAGTGGCCGCCCACATATGCCATCCGGACTTCTCTGCTCCTGGCCGGCTTCCCTGATGAGTCTTAGTACTGTGGTGAGCTTGATTTGGGCATTTCTCCGTTTTCGTTTGCTTGGCCTTAACTCCAGTGTGTTGTACCCAATCTTAAACAGCTCGATGGCATGAACTTCGTCACGGATGGCCGGCATCGGTTTTCCAAGGTCTTTTTCAATCCCGTTTATGATATGCCGCATCATAACTGACCACTCTGACAGTGTTGCTTTCTTTTGTGGCGTGTCCAGATCGTCCGATGGTATACCCTTGTATGGTGGATAGTTAAGCTCCGGATTGCCGAACCACCACAGTATCCACGCCCCCAGCGGATCGATACTTGGAAAGGCGAAGTCTTTTGGAAGCACGTGAAATTTCCCACCCCATGTATGATAATAGCGAGTTTGTGCTGTCGATAAAGTTGATAAGGCCGCTGATTTCTCTTTTTGAAGCCCAACCTCTTCTAATAACGCTCTTAATTCCTCATGCAAAAGGTCCCTCGTTATATTACCCGCTGCCACACCTTTCTTTTCCAATATCGCTTCCATTCTTTGCTCAAGTTTATCAGGAAGTAAGTCGATAGACTGCTGCTGCTTATCAAGTTTTTTGTAGAGCTCAATGTAGGGCGGAATACCTGTCGGGTGCATCCAGCTCGAATCGCCAAGTTGAAGTTGTTCTTGTAGGCTGTGAAAAACGCTCACATTCGTAAAGACTATTGTCGAGAGCAGAGGGTGGTTTGTTGGTAAATTCTGCTGTAAATATTTCCTGTGAAAAACCAGCGACGCCAGACATAACTGTAAAATGCCGTTTAAATTAGGTTCATCCGCAAGACTCGGAAAAACCGTTCTCATCACTGATGTTGTTGCGCTATCACCGGTGGAGTTAAAATGTGGCGGTAGTGTAGCAAATTTTGAATCGTTTATAGGCAGCCCAGCAACGACGCGACCTAAAAATTGGTCTCCTGCTGCTTCGTAGCGGAAATAGCGATCCTGAACTCCACCAAGTGACCAACCACAGCGTAAACAAACACTCACAATTGAAGGACCCCCCAGTACTTCCACCGCACGCAAATGTCGCGACACCTTTTCGTACCGAGTGAGTACCATAGGTTTTTGCGGAGCCATCGAGTTTTAGAAGACTACCCAAAGTCTTACTAAATCGAAGCTTCTGGTTGGACCCTGGGAATAGTGGCCCCTGTTGCAATCTCGGGTGGCACGCCAAGTAAATTGCGAGCGCTGTTACCCAGCACGTAGAAGGACTTAGCGGATTCGCGTAAACGTGACGAGGATCACGCGGCCCAGTGCCTTCCTGATTCGTTTTTGTCTTGACAAATATTACACCAATGCCATCGTCTTTAGCCACAAAATGCTGAGTTTGTACGGTTTGAACAGATATTGATCTGCACATTAAATTCCATTGGGATATTAGGAAGAGATGAGAAAAACCTCCATCACCAAGTTCCAAAGTTTCTTTACAGAGCTTCTGGTAAAGCGAGTAGGTCAATGGCTGCTTCCCGGACGTCTTCGGGTTACTAATCTGGTCACTATCAGCCTCCATGCGCTTCATTCCCGAGAAAAGCTGTTTCATTCCATCTCCATATTCAGGCGGCAAAGCTAGACGCCTCACTCTATACAGGTCCTTAATTGCACTCCGATAACCACTTAGTGTCCCAGCTTTCACATCACGGCTTTTGTAAACAAGAAACTGCTCAAAATACCTCCAATAGATTAAGTTCACCATTGCTGTCGAAGAATCGATCCGTGTTGTGGTCGACTTTAGCAAGCTCCTTGCGAATCCACTTTGCAATGCCGTTCAAGCTACTCTTGTACTTCCCTCGTGTTTCCTTGGTAACGCAGGCATCTCGGATTGCCTCCACGTCAGCTACAGCCATACCGCAGGCCGCGCTTTCGCTGGTCTGTTGCGCGCTTCCTTCACTCATTTTACAGTGCTTCTGGGTAGTTTAAATCAATTTTTGTCATAGAACAGCGTATATCGTAAGACGATTCCACTTACGATTTGTT